AAGTACTCGGCTCAGCGGTCCATACGCCTCTGTTGGTTTGTGATCGGAGACTCATTCACCTCGCAAGTAACCTCACTGACACCAGGCTTCCTGAGACCAGTGGACTGAATGAGTTGGAAATGCTTGCGAGTGTTGCCAGAGACGGCAGCGGTCTCCATCACTAAAGCACGCTCAGACCGCCATGTCTCGCGATCCTTGCGTAGGCTTTGCTTGAGCAGCCGGTTGGCAGAACGGCGCCGTTCGTTGCAATCTGATTCCGCGGGGATAGCTTTGCGGCGTTCGAACAGCTCCAGAGAACGAGCAGAGATCCAAGCCTTTAGGGGACGTCGAGTTAGGCCGCAGCATGACTGTCCGGAAATGGTCTTTGCTTTCCGTATATAAGTCCAGTGTCCTTTCACTTCTTGGGGTGGATTGCAACTGAGTGCATATGCCAGTGAAGACTGATAGCTCGTCTGGACAGAGGAATCAGTTAATCTGTTTACAACAATCTTGCGGTGCTTCGTGTTTCGGGATCCTCCAAAACACATACAGATTTTCGCGCAGACCATTGCATGATCTGAGTCAACGAAGGTGGAGCAAAAGGACCTGCAGTCCAGTACGTCTGAAGCTAAGTGCAATGTGACCAATTTGAGACCACAGTTGTGTTGGCCAAGGGAGATGCCACGTTGCGAAGGCTTCTTCGTGCGCCTGAAGTTAGTGCTCGCGAGAAACAGATGCTTGTCTTCGCACACTGTGAGAAGCCTCTCTCCGTTATCAGAGCGGTTCTCATCGAGCGCGTGGTGACCAAGGTGGCGTTCGTATGGTAACAGGCGGTCAACCCGTGCATTAAAATCCCCAACAAGGACATCCGACCTTATAGCTGATGTGAATCCCTGTAGTATTCGTACTTGACCGAGCCACCACCGCAGTCATTTGGAACGTACGCGGAAATCAAAAACAAATTTCGTCTCTCCTCGCGGCGCTTGTTGATTCTACATGAACACCGGAGCCAAGCTGCACACAGTCGGCTGTTAACCGGGAACCAGTTTAGTGGTGCCGCCTCTGCCTTGCGACTTAGTGCTATACCTCCACCAGCCAAACCCGCTGAGGCTGCTTATGGATCTCCAGAAAGACGCAGGTGATATCTGGCTTCGTGCTCAGTGGAGGATGTCAATGTAAGGGCAGTGCTGAGGTCCTGCAATCGGGCTTCAGAAAGACTGGAGACATCAATTTCGAGGGACTCTAGGGTGCGCGCTAGATCGGCTTGCTGTTCAATCTGCATGAGTGTCCGAACCTTGAAGCACGACAGACGGAACGAGGATGGGGGGCGAATGAAAGCCATGAGTGTAGTGGGTTTTGAGAATTGGCATCAAGATGGTTCGTGGGCTGCAACGTGTGCCTTATCCGGAGTGACTGTTCAGTCCAGGTCTCCGCATTATCGGCGTTACCGGGTCGATCTAATCTTTACTTGTCGCATCTTATCGGGTCAGATAAGTCCGGACTTGTCTCACCATTTCCTTCCAGCTCGATTGCCGACTGTTCGTGGGCATCCAAGAAAGTTTCACAAACCTCGATCCGATCAGGTAAGGGCTGATGTCCGGTTATCGTGTAGGGTACTTGATCTTGGAATGCCCTACCTGAGGATGTAATGTTGCCACTGACTGTTAAGACGCATTATACGCGTGTAGCACGGGTAAAGTGAGGGCTTACGGCAAGCTGTCGCCGCCCTTCAATGTCTCCAGCGGTGTGAGACAAGGATGCCCTCTGTCACCTTTCCTCAACTTCGCTATTGACGAAGTCATTTACAGGACATGACTTAGAAGGTGTGGAGCTACTCCCAGGAGAAAGACTTCTTGACTTGGAGTATGCAGACGACATTGCCATCATCTGTGATAGCTCCCAGACGTGCCAAGCCGCACTGGACAAATTAACACTGACTGTCAGTCGCTTCGGGCTTTGCTTGGCACCATCGAATTGCAAAACGTTCCTCCAAGATTGGCAGGGATCTGCTAGAAGTCCTTCAGAAATTCAACTACCTGGGAACTTGTATCAGCGTTTGTGGGATTGAAGATGAGATCACGAACCGTATATCAAAAGCTCGAAGTGCTTTTGCTAGTCTTCGCCACCTATGGCGGCGACGCGACATCACTCTCACCCTGAAGGGTAGACTGTACGATGCAGCGGTACGTTCGATCTTACTGTACGGTTGCGAAACCTGGCCTCTAAGATAAGCGGACATAAAGAGGCTAGTTACCTTCGACCATAGGTGCCTTCGCAGTTTGGCTCACATCTGGTGGGAACACCGCATGGTCAACGAGTGCGTTCGACGCCTTGTTTACGGCACAGCAAAAAGAACTGAACCGCTCAGCACCGTCATTTCACGCACCAGGCTCCGATGGCTGGGCCACGTGTTGTGCATGCCAGCCCACCGACTTCCGCGACGTGTGTTGTTTGCTCATCGGGGGTGTGGATGGAAGAAGAGGAGGAGTGGCCAAACGATGACTTGGTCCAGAGGAATGAAGGCCCTCATTTTGGAGCTGGTCTCGGTTGGTGCGTCACGGCTCCCTGGTTGGGTTCCAAAAGACGGTGAACACGTTTGGCTTAATACACTTGCTGACATGGCAAGGAGCCGACCTCAGTGGCGTTCGTGCTGTTAGTTTCTTTGTCCCTCCCCATCGCTTTTAGCCTCCCCTCCAACCACGATCTCATTTCGTAGCGTAATATAATTTTACAGCATAATTTTTCTTATTGCCTAATAGCCGGCTGGTAGCTTACCGGAACGATGCCCATCCGTTGCTGGTGGCTCAGCTGGCATGTAGCTGTTGTATTTATTTTCCTTTTCTTTTATGTGTTGCGGCATAGTAGCTGAGGTTTTTCCCACCTCTAGCTGACGTGTATAATGATGATGATTATGTTAAGACGTTTGAACACCGACTTGACGCCCTCCGTTTGCAGCCACAACTCTTTCCTTTCTCATTTTAGCCTGAATTATCATTTTCTATTTTTGTTTGTCTCGATTTCCGTTTTGTTTTATTTCCATTTCACTTGACTGCCACAGCTTGGACTGCTAGTACAGAACAAGTGAGGCTTGATTGGTTGACCGCGGTGACGCGCGTGCCGAATGTACACGCTCAGAAGACCGATTGATCGCTGAAATCCACCCCGGATCAACGACGCTTCCACAGTGGAACATCCATTGGATTCTCCAATTGTTCCTGTCTCACTTGAACTGGCTCTCAAACTATGGTTAGAAGTTTTTAGGCTTGAAGATTCGGACAAATTATAGCTGACGCTCAATTTGCTGCACGACTGGTCTGTGAATTTGTTTGTTTATGTCCAGAGAGCAGGAGTCCCTTGTCCGCTCCGTTACTTCCATTTCATTACGAGGTTAATGCTTGTGTTTGCGAGTCGGCGCGCCTCTGGAGATCGTTGCCTTTACAATAGGAACCCGCGGTACTCATCAGGTGGCAATCTGGCAGACGCTTAAAACGTTCCTCAGTCTGTGTATCAACTACGTTCTCTAGTAAGGCGTTCCAATCGTTTACCACCCGGGTAGATAGGGCAGCATCAGACTGGACGAAAAGTGTTCTTCCTTTGTAGAATTTCCACTTGTGACCTCGCCTCGAGGTATCCACTTTGCATCGAAAGTGTCTTTGTAGCTCCCTCCCAAGCCCCCCTTTAGGATCCGTCTGGTGTAGATGACGTTTCGACAGCGGCGATAATTCAAGGGAAACAAGACAACTCTCTGAAGTCGCAGAGGGTAGCTGAGCTCATGACGCTCCGAGACGGATTTCGAGCCACACCTCTGAATTTTTTCTAACAAGGCACATTCTTGTTTCAAGAAGGGATAGACAGTTGGTAAACCATACTCCAGGATTAGGCGAACATGTGAAATGAACAGGGTTCTAAAGATCCCCGGCGAAATTCGCGAGAATGATCTTCGTAGGGCACCTAGCATCCTGTTAGCAGCTGCGACCTTTAGTGTGTCCGTTGAGATCATGTGAAACGATAACTCCAAGATTCTTCTCGTGAGTGACCATCTTGAGTAGCTAGCCGCAGAACCAAGTCCCCAGTGGGGAGAACGGCACATTTGTTACGGTTAACAGGCAGTTCCCACCAGACGGACCAATCATGCACGAGGTAAAGTGATGCTTGCACTCTGTCGACATCATGAAGGCTGGATACTTCTGACTATAGTTTGAGGTCATCATCATAGATTAGGCAATCATTTTGAAGTATCGCAGCGTGGTCATTAATGTAGAGTTTGAAGAGTTCAGTCCCGAGCACGGGGCCTTGAGGAATGCCGCTAGTCATAGGAACAGGATCAGAGATTGTATCATGAGTGATAGCGGTCATGTAGCTTAGATTTGGGCTGCGTACATCGCGTATAAGGATTATCAGATTGAAATCGCCGTATCAGATCTGCTTCCTTAGCGCCCGAATTTTCCCCTAAAAGAGAAAGATTTCGGATGCCTATCGCAAGCTTCAAAGTCTTATGCAGACAACTGCGTTGGTCGTATAAATGTATTACAAGTTATACGAAATAGGTCCCTGCGATTAATGAACAGCCAACACCATTCGCTACCGTAAACCCGAAATAGGACTAATTTTGGGCGCCCGGAAAGGGCTGCCATTAACCTGTTCGATTGAATAAATGAATGCGCTGCGGAGTGCTTTCGTGCGCAATAGTTCAACAAGCGTATAAATTGGTTATGCGTTGTTGAAATAAGTTATCGGCGATGGAACTAATGCGGGAGCAACATTGTACTATGCGCCCGAATCCAATTCAAAATTGGACTAATTCCGGGCGCTCACGACCGCCCACGATTTGTGTCTCCGGGAAGAATTTCGGGCGCCTATCGGGCGTCCGTGCTGGCACGGAAGTAGCTGTTGTTATCTTCCGATATTTTGCTGACTTCCGTGATTTGTTATAACAACACATATAGGTACATAATGCATATGTTTACCTTACGTTGGTTTTCCGAACACTGTCGCCATCATTTAAGTGACCTCTCTTTTCAGCATGGCTCGCGTGAGTCTTAGCGATTGGATGTCTACTCTACCTGTTGAGGTGCTGCATCAGCCTCTCAATTTTCTTGCCATCCCTGGTAAGCCAATCCGTTGTTCACTTGACATTGTTTCAGGTGTCAGTATTCCCGTTCACACGGTAGTTTTTGCCGAATACTTCGTTCATTTGGTCTTACGGCGTTTAAGCAGTTGTCGATAAGCATGCGGAGAATGGGAAGTTTGAACAACAGTTTCTTGTTATCCCATAGGATCAGCTACCGGACATTCGCATCACACGTCGGATACCTCCCCCAGGCGTATGACACAAGTTGTTCAATTTCAGCTCAGTTGACCAACTGCGATCCAAGCACTGGAATTCGCTGCATTGCATTGTTATGATAGCGATGTAGAATAAAATTAATAGTAATAGTATATTTCTGATACTACCCGGAAACCGTATCCACGAAGTGTTGAATCATATATCCATAAGCCGCTTATCCAGGCGTCATCAACAGGAGTACATCAGCTCTTTAAACTGATGCTTCGCTGCCATACCAACCGTAACGAAGAATAATAAGAGGAAATAGGAAATCACCGGAAAACCTTAATGTTCTAGACAAACATTCAGGGTTAAGGCGCTTACACCTTGTCACTAACATACCGTCACGAAAAGCTAGCTATCGTGCAAACATAATGCGGCATCAGCGAGACAGCTCCCTTGTGGGTTTCACTGCCCCGCTTCATAATCGTCCATTACCCCGCAGACAACTCAGCACCAGACAAACTTTCAACGGACAGTCCGACTAGGGGAGGGCAGCAGACGCGCCACTGATGTCGATTGCGAGCCATGTCTTGTAAATTCTTGAGCCAAGCACAAGGCGAGTCACGTGGATTCCAGCCTGGAAGGTTAGACAGACTGACGACACCGAGTTTTGTCATCAGTGACTTCATTTCACGCTGTCAAGTCAGTCTTTGTCCACTTCGAGCCTTGCGGCACCCTGCATCTGGCTGACACAACGATGCCCTTATCGGTCAGCAGGGGTCGGGCATACGTGGTACGTGCCCAAACCAACGCAACTTGTTGTTCTAAGACATTAGCATTATTACCACTTCCTAGCAATCGCCCACACACATCATCTTTCCGCATACGTTACCAACCGACAGCAGCAATGCTCCGCAGACAGCAACGATCAAAAACTTGAGGGCGCATCAGATCGAAGTGGTCGTCTCTCCCATAGAGTAGAACGGCTCTCATTGTAGCCTTTTAAACACGGGCTTTCAAACGGAGCAAACTTTTTCCGTCACCAAAGATGTAGCAGATTCAAAAAGGCAGTTTCGGCTTTTGCAATTCGTGAACTGACTTCAGTAGCTATACACCCATTGTTGCTGATACAGCTACCAATGTAAGTGAGTTGATCAACTACCTCGAGTTTCTCGCTATATAGCGTCTAGAGATCATCAAGTGGCTGGTGGTCCTGCAGCACCGCTTCAACCTTTTAAGGTGCGAAGCCCACACCAATTAATGGAACCACTACACAGGTTATTCAGGGTTGATTACGCCGCCGCAACACCGCTAAAAAGCAAGACCATGTAGTCCGCAAGCATAAGGTCAACTAACCTTTCCTTAGGCAGCATCTCAATACTGGCATCGTGAAAATCCGCTAGAGAATACCATGATTCGGCACGACGAAATTGAACAAAAACGGGGAATTGGACAACCCTGACGAACGCCGTTTGTTGTCGGAAAGACATCCGAGAAATCACCGATGACCCTGACGCGGCCTGTAGTGTACAGAACAGGTAAAATGTCCACCTATTTCATGAGAACATCTTGCCGCGCAAGTATTTCAAACAATGCATTGATCTACCGAATTGAACGCACTCTTAATATCGAGGAAAACAACTATTATCGGTTCGCGGTATGCGTGGCGCTGCTCTAGTACCTGCCACAAAGTGAACAGGTGGTCTATAAGGCCCCGACCGGGGCGGAGACCTGCCTTCTCCTCCCTTATTCGGGATTCCCGTTCCTCAGTGGGGCGACGAACGAGAATCGAGGTCAGTACTTTTGTCACAACTGACGTTAGACTAATACCCCTGTAGTTAACACAGTCCGTGCGACTGCCTTTCTTGTATATTGCCACAATTTCGATTCACTCCAGTTAGCCGGGACGGTTTCACTTTTCCATACATGTTCGATCTGTGAGGTCAGTGCTTTGCAGAGAACCTCACCTCCATCCTTAAATAGCGCAGCTGGGAGGGAATCGGGGCCATCGGCACGAAAACGATTGGGGCCTATGATTGCGTTTCGGACCTCAGTCTCGGACGGAGGCTCTCGGTTAACCTTCCATGACTCACTTGGCATCACTTATGCCGGTATGGTTAATCGTGAATGTGAACGCTTCAGGCGTTCGGAAGTTCGGAAGTAGGAGGCCTGCTGAACTGATCTTGAAGGTGTTCAGCCCAACGAGCCATACGGCACTCCTTATTGTGAATCTGAGTACCCGCGCCGTCTGATTGTCTCACTGACGCCTTGTTTCCTGGGACCAGTGGTGCGGATCAGCTGGAAGAGCTTGTGGTAATTGCCTACTGCTCCTGCCTCCTCCATTTCTTAAGCCCTACTGGTCCACCAGGCTTCCTTGTCAGCACGTAGGCTCTGCTTTAGTTCGCGCCTGATAGTCCGTCTGATCTCATTGTCACATTAAGTTTTCTTCTGGATTCCAACATTCATCAGCCTTTCGGATATCCAGTGACTGGTGCGGTGACGATTGATAGTATTACAAACAAATGCTCCTGCGTCTTTCATGGCGACCGGGATCCTATTCCATTGAAGCTCAGTGTCACCAGGACAAGGGAGCGAAAGTTCGGTACGAAGTGCAGCTTGGTAGACTTGCCTGACCGAGGGCTGAAGTAACTTCTGAGCTGCCACTCGAGTAAGACTTCTCGTGCGCGTTCCGACAAAGTACATGGAAAAGCGACAGCGTATCAAGGCAAGATCAGAGTCGACGAAAGTACTCCAGAACCAACGACTATCCAGGATGGAACCACGCCATCTGTAACTTATGGGAATGTGATCAATTAGGGTCCATCGCTGGCCAGCTACAGGAGCACGCCAAGAGGCGTTTCGGCGCCATGTCTGAAAGCACTGCTACTAAGAAACTGCTGGTGCTCTGCACACAGTTGCAACACACACTCGCCGTTGTCCGTACGGTTGGAGTTAACCCCACCTTTGCCATCTAGCTGCGCTTCTGAAGATCCCAGGCAGCCTACTTGAGCATTCATATCCCCTACAAGTATTATGATATCTGAACTGGTAGCACTACGTAGTGGTGTGTTCAGTTCTTGGTAGAATGTGTCCTTGGCATCACCACTGCAGTCAGTGGGAGCGTAAGTGGAAACCACAAACAGCGTTTTCTATTATTTCGTGAATCAACTTTAGTTTATGTTGTCGAACGAGATGCGCACAAACGGTTTTTCACCAGAATCTAACCAGCGATGACTCAGCCTTTGAATTGAATACGATACCTACCCCAGCTTGATCAGAGGCTGCCTCATCAGTGTCTCCGGATGCATGCAAGCCGGGCGTAGTTCATTCAATTGTTCCAGGTTTCGTAAACGTAACACACGTCAATACCCAGTGTGTCCAACGTGCGTGCGAGTGCAGCCTGTTGACCTATTTGTCTTAGAGTGCGAACGTTGAACGCCGCCAGGGAAAGGGGACAGCGTGGACTGATAAAGAACTTTTGGCGATAGGTGTCCAGTGAGTGGTGCGTGAAACTAGCTTCAGATAGTTCCACTCCAGTGACACTGTCCGCTGTCAATTTAGCTGAGAACTATAGGTTAGTTATGGGGGTTCGGAGGGGAGTAAGAGACAGGTGGAGAAGAAGGGCGGCGCCAGCACTGACATGTTTTCGCCTATCCGCCCTGGTGTATGTAGCAGATAAGGCGACCCTTGATGAGCTGCGCGACGCCCAATGCAGGGTGTAACTAATTTTTGAGGAAATAGTCATAGTTGTATGTAGGCTGACATACTGCCAGAGCGCCCAGACCTAGACAGCGGGGCGATTAGGTTCCTTAACCAAAGCCTTTGGCTCAAAAGCCCGTCCGCAAAGCATTGTGGAGGTGGCAATGATTTAGTTTTACTGAAATGGACGCCATCCCTTTTCAAACCCCCATTCTGGAGGACCAGGAGACTGTGTTCCTCTTTCCTGGTAGGAATATGTCTCAAAGAGCTCGGAGACACCACCCAGGGTCAAAGTGGTACACAAACCGTCGCGACATGTTGAGGTCCATTCTTTTTGTGACGGTGTTCAGGTGTATAAACCACCCGAAGGTTGGAGATTATGCGTTTATCTCCCTTTGTGATTTTCATTATAATTTTCCGCCTGATCCTCGGTTATTCTTAGTGAATAAACTTATCTTTTCTAACGACGATGTTGCACACGTACTCTAGGCTTCCATATAAATGTCCGATAGGAATGTCACTTCTGAAGAAGCGAGTAGCACAGCTTCTATCATCAAATTTAAAGGGTATACTACTTCTAGGACATCAACGTTGCGCCTATTGTAACCAAGAGAAAAATGGACGCCTTTTCGTACTCCCTGATGGAACCCCGATGGTCGCTATAAATGAGAGCACCTCTCTTTTCAACGATTCCACAGCAACTAACCGCGATCAGCTGAATCGTGAAACCCCTAATGTCGCAGTTTATCATTTTGATATGTAATTTTTGCACCTTTGGTAAACAACTGGCTCTCAGCGCTTCGACTCTGGCTAGTACTTATTGCCCTCTACATCTTTATGCTAATGAAGAGTTTAGAGCTAATGGAAATAAGGCAGCTATTTCTCTTATCCTCGCGTAGTGTTCTATCGCTCAACGGCTATCCATCTGGTGTTCAACTGTACAATTGCTGCCGGCCCGTAGCCTTAATCCTTCATTGTACTCTGAGGGCGCGGGTTCGAGCATGCGTAGGGACCGGGTGACCATCGCGGTATCCTTAGTCCATATGCGACCGGTAATGGTCGCGCGGCAGCGAAGCGTCAATATACTGGGTGGCACTCCATGCGCTTTCAGAGCTACTTGTATCAGACAGATCGATGGGAAGAGGTCAGGTAACCTAGTCCCGAAGTCCTCATAAGATGTTGAAAGCAAATCCATAGCTCTCTCTTCCTTCAACATTTAGGCATGAAACTTACATCTACGGTTGGTAGCTCAGTTGCATTGGCATCAAGCCCCAACGTTAATAGATGCCTATGGCAGCGAAAGAGTATCGCTCTTGCTCATTGGTTTGTATCCATTCGCCTCAAACTGGGCGGTTTTGGTCAGAAAAGTGCAAGTTCATGAAAGCTAACTTGCAGTTGTCCGTGACAGCGGGTGTACTCTACCATGCAGTGGAAATGCTCATGTGAAGTTCTCTGGTCTTTAAAGACTGCGCATGTACAACCCCGAGCAGATTTCAGTGCTCTGCAGTTCCACTTCGTGGCTGCACGTTCTGCTCCTCTGTCGAGTGAATTCTCTCAAACCAATCTCCATTATCACGCTGCCTTGTGAGCCAGGCTGTCGAGTGAAAGTGTAGGATTTCACACAAGGCTTTACAAATTCCGTAATATCGTGATTGAACTAAATTTTAGTGGAACATTCTGAATTTAACTGTTTGGAGTAATCTAGTTATCCGTCCACTTGCAGCTCATGGAATGACTAGGTTGCATGCAGAGACAGTCAAAATGTAACATCATTGACGAATCAATGGCGGTCCAAGTTTTTCTGACGCTTGTTGGCGAGACTAACTGCAAACTTGGTCTTTTGTCCCAGGTTGGTGCTGGCCGCCTAATTGCTGAATCCTTAGCCAACTGAAGAAGGCAGGTCAGGCTCTCGGTTGAGTATTGCTAATCATTCGCGCCGAATGCTGTGCGTCCGTAAAAAACCCGTGTGAATTGCCGCATATGTGCGCTTCAGCCTCGCATCTTGATTGGGGTTAATAATCACCATCTGGAGACTGTGTACCTCCTTATTTTTTCAGCGTACATGACAATCAACTGCAGGTTGAAGACCATCGAAGACGAACCCAGTCGACAACTCTCAATCATTAGTGTGTAATTGGGGTTGTGATTTTGAGAAGATTCATCGCAGCTGGATTTAGCCAGACAGCCACCACACATCAGAGGAGCACTAGACGGCCGTTTTGTCTTATTTGGACTCGTCAGCAGCGCGCATCCGCCGAATCCTGCCAAATTCGAGCCCATGACCTTTCTCTTACGAGCCGGCGACTTAGGTCGCTGAGCCATGGTTGACGCGACGGACCGTCATGACTGATATCCAACTGCTATATAGCGCGGCTCATCCTCCACTGTCATGCACATTTTGAGCTCGAAGAGGACAGGGCTGGCCCCCAGAGCTGCGACTTTTTTTGCAATCCGCCACCCATCGAGGTGGTATGTAGGCTGCTAAGACGGTTACTGACTATTATTGAGTTGCAAGGAGGCTTTATTGTGGTTTTGAGAACATTCATTTCAGCTAGACTCAGACAAAATGATACTAATAGTAGTGTGTCAGCTGTACTCCGTAATGGCGGTTCGCTTCCACGCACCGGCTGAGTATACCGCGAGGACGCCCAACCTTACTCAAGCAGATAGTCACTACACATCCAGGAAAGCGCTTTCCTGTATATATAGTGGTTATCTGCTTGAGTCTAGCTGCGACGAATCTTCCTGAAACTCTCATTTATCTTCTGCATGGCAGCAAACACTGGTATACTGATTGTTGCTCGTGACATGAATTCTTCATTAGTCCGCTTCTCGGGCTCCAAACAATCTCTAGGTAGCCATCGCGAAACCAGTGCGTTCCAGATGCAAATGGCGGTCGATTTCTTTGAGCATGTGCTAGTAACCGCTTTCCAGCACACCCCAACGATAACCTGCATCCATCTTAACAATCTGCTAGAGATGACGCACGTGCTCAATTTTGTCGACACATTTGGAGCACCTGCTTGTCTTCCGTCCAAACTTTAATTTGCGCATGTATGGCTCTCGATTTTTCGTCTAATTCCCAAACGTCCTACATAACACTTGGGATCACATTACCAAATTCAGCAATATCTGGGCTCGTGGGCTGTCACTGATGAACGAAGTTAGTGGCTTGAATAGCGGTTAGAATCGCTTCACTGTATCATGAAAAATGTTTTCCAGACCACTCGTCCGTCTAACGTGACACCCGAGCTGTCTAGAGATTATAAAAGCAGTGATTAATTTCTACCGCAACAAGATTGAACCTTAACGTGATGCGATGATTTGCATACCTTCGTGATCCACTGAAGTACGCTGAGTGGCACTTTCTAAGTGTCCTCAGAGCTATCTCAACAAGCCAGGTCAGTGATTAGAGGTCATACAAACTCATTCTCAACATCTTGTTGATTCATCATCATCATCATCATCATCATCATCATCATCATCATCATCATCATCATCATCATCATCATCATCATCATCATCATCATCATCATCATCATCATCATCATCATCATCATCATCGTCGTCGTCGTCGTCGTCGTCTCTCGTCGTACACATTAGCCAGAGGTGGGGAACGCCTCAGCTAATGTGCCGCAATACATAGCAAAAAAGGAGATAAAAATGCAACTGGTGCAAGCTGGCTGAGCTACGGGTAACGGATAGGCATCGTTCCGGTAAGCTACCAGCCGGCTTCTGTGCACCAAAAATAACTTACTATGCAAAATTATATAATGCTAACTAATGAGATCGTGGTCGGAGGGGGAGGCTAAGAGGGATGGGGTGGGACAAAGAAACTCACAGCACGAACGCCACTGAGGTCGGCTCTTAGCCATATCAGCAAGTGTGTCCAACCAAACCTGTTCATCGTCTTTCGGACCCCAACCAGGGAGCCGAGACGCTCCAACCGAGGCCAGCTCAGAAGTGAGGGCCTTCATCCCTCTGGACCAAGTCATCGCTTGGCCACCCCTCCTCTTCTTCCATCCACACCCCCGCCGCGCAAACAACACACGTCGCGGGAGTCGGTGGGCTGGCATGTTGATTGGTTGCTTAGAGTTCAATGACTATCTTTCTTCATGGCCTTGCCATGGGAAGCAACTGTTTACGGGTTGTCAGATGAACCCAGTGTCGAGTACCAGCGGTAAGTGTTGGCGCTGGTGATGGGGTAGCACAACCCTTGCTCAATGGTTTGTTACTGTCCACATCCTAAGCAACACCTGGTTTAAGAAGAACAAACCTCCAAACTGGTCAGTTTTAATCGCGAATCTAGATGTTTTGACTGTCGAAAATGTTCACTATCGGCTCCGAATCCCTCAAGACTATGTATCTGGCTTCAAGCGGTTTCCAGTAGAGTTATTTAGTCGCATTCCCTAACTCGAGTTGGCCAGCCCACCGACCCGCATGACATGCGTTGTTTGCGCTCCGCGGGTGTTGATGGAAGAAGAGGAGGGGTGGCCAAGCGATGACTTGGTCGAGAGGAATGAAGGCCCTCAGTTCGAAGCCAGCATCACTTGGAGCGTCTCGGTTCCCTGGTTGGGTCCGAAAGACGATGAACATGTTTGGCTGGATACACTTGTTGATATGGCTAGGAGCCGACCTCAGTGGCGTTCGTGCTGTGAATTTCTTTGTCCCACCCCATCCCTCTTAGCCTACCCTCCAACCACGATCTCACTGGTTAGCCTTTTATATTTTTGCATAGTAAATTTTTTTGCTGCATAGTAGTCGGCTGGTAGCTTACCGGAACGATGCCCATCTGTTACCGGCATCTCAGTTGGCTTGCACCTGTTGCATTTTATTCCCTTTTTTCTTTTAGGTATCGCGGCACATTAGCTGAGGTGTTCGCCACCTCTAGCTAACGTGTATACTGATGATAATGCCCGAGTTTCTCCCCACTACTTTTGTGTGGATTAAATTAGTCGAAGGTTCCGAGTAGATTTCACAAGTTAAGGTCCTTGTACTGGGAAGTCGATGAGTATCACGCAACCACAATGTACTGTTGTTAGCAGTCTCTCCACTTCCTTCGTTTTCACAGTACCTTGTTTTGTAATTTCGCTGTTTTGTTTACAGGCAGCCATGATTCGTTCACATACGGCATCACCAGTAAGTCGAAACCATCACCGGATGGCGATGGATATTACATCACGCGACTGCTACCTCAGTTCATTATTGGACCTGTTTTACGTTCTTGGTCGGTTACGCAAAATGTCGATGTTGCCGACCAACTTCGCGGCGGGATACGTTACTTTGATTTGCGCGTGTGTCTTCGCATTAATCGGAAGGGTGGGAAACCAGTGCATGAATTTTTTCTCGTTCATGGTCAGTTCGCAGTTCAAGTCGTGGAACTGCTCAAATCCATCAGCAACTATTTGCACGAGCATCCGCGAGAAGTGGTTTTATTGGATTGCAACCACTTTTACAATTTTCAATCGGTGGCCCATATTTTGGAGTTCGAGTCTATGGTCGTCGAGGTGACTACTTCCCTTTGTCTTAAAATTCCATCATTTCTTTCAGCCCTCATGCCATGAAGCTTTTCTATCATTGTCCTAAGTATCGTCGTTCTTGTGACACTTCAAACCCACTCACTCAGCCTTTTCCAGCAACTGTTCCCTCTACGAGTATCGTTGAATCTTCCTGACCGATTTCAACTGTTCCACATGTGATCTCTTATATTGCTCGCAGCCGTATTAGTTGTTCTGGAGGGACAATTCGGTATCACGGATATAATGTGTATATTTCGTTACTATATGGCTCCGTGGAAACTACTGACTCTTCAATTAGACTCGTTCCACTGGTCCCACGTAGACAACCGTCAGTGAGGCAAGTCAAAGCGGCACCAGCATCCTCATTTAAAACACTGAACCCCTATTGCTCGCTGTACAGAGCACTTTCTGCAGCGCTTCATTTGCTTTTCCGTCCCCGATCTTTGCTGTTTGTATGTAGATGATCAGTTTTCGTAGCCCTAAGGATCACAAGCTTGCCTTGTAATCCGATGGTGCGGGTTCGAGCCTTTGTAGGGACCAGGAGACGCTTTGTATCCTCATCCCACGTGCGACTGGTGATATATATATATATATATATATATATATATATATATATGGCGGGAGAGCCTATGGTGCGCTGAGGCTGGTGGTGGCTAGATCCTGACAGATGGTCTATCCACTGCTGCTACTGTTGCGCCATAGTCTCATGTCCTTGGCGCCTCCACGTGGCGACCGCTGGGTGGGAGTTGGGTTTCGCCCTTCTCCCTGCTAAGATCCAGGACACCAATCCGCATGAGTCGGCTAACTGACCATGTGCTAGACCCGCTGCCTTTCGGGTGTTCATTTAATCGAAGGCTTTGGCTGAGGACTCGAGTCGTTCTCCTGTCAGGTGTGGGCGCCCTGGCAGTATCCTAGTCCATCCTCTCCGGAGGTTAGGAAGTGGTCGATGGCCCACTTCCCGTAAAACCTAGCCATGGGAGACAACAGGTTTACGGGTTATAATCTCACAGCTCGATTGGCGTAGAGCACGAGGGTCACGCATTGTCTCTGACGGTGGGAGGACACCTCAGGGTGTTCAATCGTTTGCTACTGCCCGCGTCAAGCCAGGCAGCCCCTGGTCAAATTGGTGCAGACCCGGCAAAACCCACCTGCGTCTGGCCGTGGTCGCAGGTGCGTATCCAATTACGGTCGCAAAACATATGATAATTGTTCCAGAACCTCAAAGGCTGCGTGTGACGGCCGTCAAGCAGATCCCAATCTGTCTCTGCAATCACATTCCCGATCTGGATCTGCTATCCACTGCCTTGTGGGTCAGGCTATTGAGCCAAAGGCTCCGGGCGGAGTCCCTCAAGCAAACCTCCAAACCACCCACTGCCTTGTGGGTCAGGCTATTGAGCCAAAGGGTCCGGGTGGAGTCCCTCAAGCAAACCTCCAAACCACCCACTGCCTTGTGGGTCAGGCTATTGAGCCAAAGGCTCCGGGTGGAGTCCCTCAAGCAAACCTCCGAAGCACAACGACCACCTCGCGTGCGATTGCCCACCAATGCAACCGTATGCCTGCGCGCAAAGCACTCAACATCGGGTGCTGGAACGTGCGCACACTACTGGACCGAAACTCCAGCGAGCGCCCGGAGCGACGCACTGCACTGGTCGCAATGGAGCTGGCGCGCTACCACATCGATATTGCGGCGCTCAGTGAAACTCGGTTCGCTGAGCAAGGTAAGTTACGTGAAGCAGGTGCTGGCTACACATTCTACTGGGTGGGGAACGCCGCCTCAGCACCACGTGATCATGGGGTCGGATTTGCAATATCCGATCGCCTGAATGGCCAGCTGGTGGGTGAACCAACGGGCATCAGCGCGCGAGTGATGACTGTTCGCCTACGACTCGGAAGAGGTAAGTTTGCCACTTTTATAAGCACGTACGGTCCGACCATGTGTTATCCTGATGACACGCGTGATCAGTTCTACACTGAGCTATCCTCCGTGATACGGTCTGTGCCGAGGAGCGACCGACTATTTCTGCTGGGTGATTTCAATGCGCGTTGGGCGTGATGCATCGGCGTGGACAGATGTTATCGGTTCGCATGGCATTGGTTCAGCGAATGCGAACGGTGACAGGCTGCTCTCACTGTGTGCCACTCACGGCCTGACGATCACGAACACTCGGTTTGCACTGAGTGCGAGTAATATAGCAACTTGGACGCACCCACGGAGTGGTCACGCTCACCTGCTCGACTATGTCATCGTACGTCAGCGTGATATGCGTGAAGTGCGCATGACACGTGTACTGCGTGGAGCTGAGTGTGGCACTGATCACAAATTGGTTCGGACCAAACTGTACATATATTTTCGTAAATCGATGTATTGCACTCCCGCCGTGAATCCGCATAAATTTAACATTCTCTCCCTCGGTACTGTGGCGAAACGTACTGAGCTGGAGAAGGCGATGGCTGCACGCCTGTGTGGTGATGTGGACTGCATAGCCACAGTGGGCGACCTGTGGCACCACATTCGCGACCAGGTGACATCTGCTGCCGAGGAGACCATCGGGCGCGCAAACTGTAAGCGGCCTGATTGGTTTGATGACAACAATGTGACCATTGGGGCATTGGTGTCAGAGAAGAATGCAGCATTTGCTGCACATGTGGCAGACCCCAGTGACTTGGGGAAGAGTAGTCAGTTTCGCAAACTTCGACGGCGACTGACCCGAGAGCTCCGTCGCATTAAAAATGCATGGTGGACGGAGAAGGCGAAGCAGATGGAATGCTACGCCGAACGCCGCCAACACAAGGAATTCTTTGACTCCTTGAAGGCGGTGTATGGACCGAGATTGGAGCCTCTGAGGACACTGATCGATGGTAGTTCAGGCGCTACCTGCACCCAGACTGCGGACATAATGCAGATCTGGCGGAAACACTTTGACTGTCTCTTGAACAACCGTTCAGAGATCGACTGGCCTACATTGAACGGCCTGAAGCAGCACGATGTGAAGGCGAATCTGGCGGACACGCCGACACGGGATGAGACGCAGAGAGCACTTGCTCAGCTGTGAAACGGCAAATGTGCCGGAGGTGACGGGATCCCACCTGAAGTATTGAAACACGGCGGACCCGCCTTGTTGACTGCGCTGCACCACTTGGTGCAACGCGTGTGGATTGAGGAGGAGGTGCCTGCTGAGCTGAAGGATGCCCTTGTGCTACCACTGTACAAGGGCAAAGGTAGCAAGCAATGTTGCACGAATTATCGTGGCATCAACTTGCTGAGTTGTGTGGGCAAGGTGATTGCCCGAATCCTGCTCAACCGGCTCGTGAGTCAGGTTGTGGAACCTAACGTAGCGGAAGAGCAACGTGGATTCCGCTCGGGTCGCAGCACTATAGATATGGTGTTTGCGGCTCGTCAGTTGCAAGAGAAGTGCAGAGAACGACACCAGCCATTGTACTCGCTTTTTGTTGATTTCACCAAGGCATTTGATACGCTGAACCCCGAGGCATTGTGGCTAGTGTTGGATAAGTTTGGTTGCCCGCGTAAGTTTGTAAGTTTAATTGAATGTCTGCACAGTGGTATGCGAGTGAGAGTGCAGCTGAGTGGAGAGACCTCGGATGACTTTGCAGTCGTCTCTGGTGTGAAGCAAGGCTGTGTCTTAGCTCCTGCCCTGTTTAATATATATCTTCATGCAATGTTGTCTTGTGCTTTTGATGCGGCTTGTGCTTACAGTGTTCGTGTGGAGCACCGTATTGATGGTGGGTTGCTGAACATCCGTCGTTTCGGTGCGAGAACTCTAGTCTGTGAGACAACTCTCCGTATGTTGCTGTTTGCTGACGACTGTGCGTTGTTTTTACACAGCGCGGATGAGTTGCAGCACTTGACTAGTGCTCTGGCTTCGACAGTGGCCAAATTCGGGCTCACCATCAACACAAGCAAAACTGTCTGTCTCTTTCAGCCTTCACCGGAGGTGCAATCTTCAATATTGCCGCAAATCAGCATTGGTGCTGAAGTATTGGAAACCACCTCCCGCTTTTGCTACCTTGGGAGTGTGATGTCGACTGATCAGCAGCTACACGTTGAGTTGCGTAATCGCGTGTCGAAGGAAGCAGCGGCATTCGGGAAGCTTGAGTACCGAGTGTGGAACAACCATCAGCTTACCATTGGCACGAAGCTGATGGTGTACAAATCCATGGTACTGTCCGTTCTTCTATACGGCAGTGAAACGTGGACGATGTACCGTCGGGATGTGCGATATCTCGAGCGGTTCCATCAGCAGTGTCTGCGACGAATTTTGCGGATCGACTGGGGCGCCAGAGTTGCAGACACGGAAGTTTTGCGCCGTAGTGGGATGTATGCAGTGGACGGCATACTTTTACTGCGACACCTGAGATGGCTCGGTCATGTGAGCCGTATGCATTCGACGCGGATACCGAAACAACTCTTTTACGGTCAGCTGAGTATTGGGAAGCGGCACGAGGGGAAACTGAAGTTACGTTACCAGGACATGATTAAAGTGAGCCTCACACGTTCTAACCTTGATTGCAGATCATGGGAATCGAAGGCGGTTGATCGGCGTGCATGGCGCGATCTAATCACGAAGGCAGTTGCTGAAGTGCGGGAGAAAGACCTCATGCATGCAGAGAAGAAGCGGCAAGTGCTTAAGCGGCAAGCACCAATGAATTGTACTCCATCGACATCGAGCGCATGGTGCTGTAGAACATGTGGTCGCGAGTGCCTTAGTAAGGCAGGCCTAGTGAGCCATGAGAGAGGTCACTCGGGACCACTGCCGAAGTGACGATGGGTCCTGCAGTGAACGCAGGCAGCACCGGCGCAGCGTTTGTAGGCACGCTGAATTCGATTTACTAACCGCATGCTTGCATGCTAATTCTCTTTATTTCAGGTGGTGGGTTTTCGGTTCTGTCCTAATGCCTTTCTTTCTCATATAAATGTCTAGTGGGCCATGAGCTAGGTCCTTTGGGGGCACTACAGAAGTGACGACGGG